GAAAACATGGCATATATACACAATGGAATAGTATTCAGTCATGAAATTCCATTCATGGCAACGCAGATAAGCCTGGAAGATACTGCATTAAATGATGTAAGTCAGGCACAGAAAGACAGATATTGCATATTCTCACTTATATGTGGGAACTAAAAATGTTAAGTTCATAGAAGTAGAGAGTAGAGTTGTGGCCACTGGAGGCTGGAAAGGGTGGGGAGAAGGGAACAGGGAGAGGCTGGTTAACAGATACAAACGTCCATCTAGACAGGAAGAATAAATGCTAGTGTTCTACAGCAGTGCTAGATGACAACAGTCAACAATTTATTGTATATTTTCAAATGGCTAGAAGAGGAGTTCATATGTTCTCAACACAAATGACCAATGTTGGTGGTGATGGATATGCTAACTACTGATTTGAATATCACTCATTGTATACATGTATTGAAATACCACTCTGTACCCCACAAAAATGAACAGTGTAAAATTTTTAAAAAAAATTCCACGGAGGGATTCATGTTTCTGAAGAACTATGACAAAAATCCCTGAAGAACTATGACAAAAAATACATCAGGAGGCAGGGGGAGGGGTGGGACTGGAGATGGACAGAGTCGTCTAAGCGTCCTGAAAAAGAGAATGATGTAACGGATGTGGAAGTTCAGGAAACTGGTCTGGCAGACAAAAACATGATGGCAAGGAAAGGCTGCAGGAAAGAATGGGCACTAGAAGGTGGAGAGCAGGCTGCAAGCAAATAGGGCTGGTGAACAGTGTCCCCTGAGGGCCACCGGTGCAGAGGCCAGGTCTACCAACTGCCTGCAGAGGACGAGCTGGTGTGGGAGGCAGAAGGCACATCTCCATTTATTTTTAAGTGAGCTGGCCTTTGATTTTCAGTACATCGATGCCGAGCTGCCCCCCGAGTCGCCCTACCTCTACCGACTCCACCCGAATGCGGAGATTGGCTTCCTGACCCAGACCTCAGAAAAGCTCTTCCGCACCGTGCTGGAGCTGCAGCCTCAGGACAGCCAAGTCAGAGATGGAGCAGGAGCCACGAGAGAAGAAAAGGTATGTGGGGGGGATTGCCTGAGATCATCGTGGGGAGCCCGAGGATTGTAGATGGGGGCCCTTCTCCTACTGTCTGCATTGGCAGTACAGTGTAGACAACATACACAAGGCATGGCCCGTCCAGCCTTGAGATGCTTGCCCTTCACCCCCAAGAGCCCCCCACCTCCCCTAGTCAGGTCACCATGCTGGCCCTCTGGTTAAATCATAGGAAGTCCCTGCCATTGGCTTTGGCAGTTTGCTTTGCCAGTCTACCCAAAGTCAGTTTTTATTCAGTTTACACCTATCTGCCAACGTGAAGAAAGGGGCAGGGCTGAAGAATGGAGGTTTGGGAACCTTGAAAGTGACTCTATGATTCCTTGGCAAACTAACTAGTGATGGGTGGGGAGCTGCTCCTGAACACTTTCACCCTCATTCGACCAGCTAGATGTTCATTTGGATAAACACACTCCTCTTAACACACAGTTAAGTGCTACTACGCACAGGACTTCCTGAAATTTCAGAAAAATGGAGGGGAATTATGGAGTAGAAAAGCAGACTAGGGTGAGGTATGGGTTTTAGGACAACACAAGGCAATTTGGGGTCTCTGTACCTGGTGTGGGAGTCACAGAGGGCACAGAAGGAACAGGCTACCAAAGTGAAACTTCTCTGTGAAATTTTTCCTAAGACAAGCTAACTCAACTTTCAAGAGATGTACAAGAGTACTTCAGAAAACACTTCATGGAAAGACTCGTATTATCTTTTAATTCTATTTTCCCACAAACTTTTTGAAGTACTCTCTTACTTTCACCAGCTCATGTCCACCCCATGCTACTGCTTGGATTCCTTGAATTAGAGATACCATTAGGTTTACAGAGAAACACCCTTGGAAGATTAGGGCTTAGGAAGCCTAGGTGGTTATCAAACTTTTAAGTTCCAGGGACTGATTTTAGGAAAGCAAACTGATTGACACTAAGGGAGCTGTACTTTTGTTTAAAGATAGGGAGTGGTGTCATCAAAATAGTACTTCCGAAATTTTAATATGCCTAAGAATGAGCTAGAGAGCTTGAAATTCTGATTCTGAGGTCTGGGGTTGGGCCCAGGAATTGTCAACTGTCATTAGTTGGTTTCTGTTGCTTATTACAAAATAATTGGAACTGGGTAATTTGTAAAGAAAACAAAATTTATTCTTCACAGTTTCAGAGGCTGGGAAGCCCAAAGTCCAGGGAACACATCTGGTGAGGGCCTTCTTGGTGGTGGCTTTACAGCAATGCAGGGGTCTCACGTGGCAGAAAATGGAGGAGCAGAGAGAGTGAGCTCCTGTGCACTCTCCTTTAAAGCCCTTAGAACCACACCCCTGACTACATTGAACCATCAACTTAATACCTCTTCAAGGCCCCATCTTTCAATTACCATAATAGGATTTCCCACCCTCTCAACACTGTCACAGTGGGGGCCAAGTTTCCAATACCTGGAACTTTGGGGGACACAATTTAAGCTTCAGTGAGTTTGGGGAGCCCGCAATCTACAGCAGCAACCAAGTGATTTTGATGCAGGTGAGCATACTTTGAGAGCTGCTTTGAATCACACTACTCAGCCTGTTCCACTATTTGACATATAAGATTAATTTGAGAATAAAGAGAGGGAAAGAATCCAAAACACACAGAATGGAAAATGCTCCTAGCTCTGCAAGTGAAAAAGGCTGGGACTCTAATAGACTTAGGATTCTTCAGGCAAGGTTCAAAGAAGTTTCTAACCCATCATCTCCTTATCACCTCCTCTCCCCCATAACTCAAGCAATGCTGCGTGTATGCCTGTGTGTGTGTATTTCAGAAATGATATGAACTGTGATCACCTGCCATGTGTGATACAGTGTGGGACAAGTCTGCAGGCTGTTGGGTGCATGTCCTATTGTGCAGTGTCCCAATGCTCAGCCGTGGGAGTGTTTCTCACACAGCTCACATGTTCTTATGAGCTATGTTCCTTCCCGTCCATACACCAGCTCAAGAGGAGCACCAAGAGCCAAAGCCCAGGGAGTGTTTTGTTTTAAGGAGCAAATCCACATACACCCACAAACTCTTGACCCAACTCTACACCCAGGTCCACAGCTCTATGAAGGGAAGCCGGGTTTTAGTGTATATACAATTGGGCTGCCATGTGCCTGGGAAGAAGGGAAAAACACTGGAAGGAAGGGGAGTTGGGAGGAGACAGCTAGCAGTCTGCCACAATCTTCAACCCAAGCTTGGATGTTCTTTCTAGAACACCATGGGCTCATTTGACGATCTGAGCCTGACCTGCTGCTTGGCCCCAAGTGGCTCTCTCAAGGTGGATGAGTCTGCTACTAATCAGGAGGGGTACCTGGCTATGTTTGCTTGCTTAGGCTGCCATAACAAAATACCACAGACTGGGCAGCTTGAACAACAGAAATATATTTTCTCCCAGTTCTGGAGGCTAGAAGTCCATGATCAAGAGGTAGATAGGTTTGGTTTCTTCTGAAGCCTCTCCCCTTGGCTTACAGATGGCCACCTTCTCACTGTGTGCCCACATGGCCTTTCCTCTGTGCATGTGAACCCCTGCTGTCACTTTTTTGTGTCCTAATCTCTTCTTATAAAACATTAGTAAGATTGGATTAGAGCCCATCTTAATGGCCTCATTTTAACTTAATCACCTCTTTAAAGGCCCTGTCTCCAAATACAATCACATTCTGAGGCACTGAGGGCTAGGGCTTCAACATATGAATTGGGGGAGGGGGCACAGTGCAGCCCATAGCACCGGACTTCAGGGCCCCCCCCCTTGGATGTCCACCCTTCCTCTCTTCCTTAGTGATGAGGTAGTCTGTCTCTCCCATTTGAATCCCTTCAACACTGGATTTCTTTAATGTTGAATAACTAGCTAGTCATTTGGATAAAAATAAAGCGGGTTCCCTCACTCCTTACACCAAAATGTATTTCAGATGGCTCAAATATTTAAATGTAGAACAAAAAAAGCACTGGAAGACAACTCAAGTGAATGTTTTTATGATCTTACAAAGATTGATTTTAAAACTTTTTTTAAAACCCTCAGAATCAGTAAAGAAAAAAAGATCAACAAATCAAATGACTTAAAAAATTTTAAAATATCTACGAAGCAAAAAACACCATGAACAACAACAACAACAACAAAAAACCATCATGAACAAAGTCAAAGACTATTTGCCTATTTGCAACCCAGATACCAGGCAGTAGGCAGATGTATTAGTCCATTTTTGTTGCTTATACCAAAGTACACTGAACTGGGTGATTTTTTTTTTTTTTTTTTTTTAAAGATGACCGGTAAGGGGATCTTAACCCTCGACTTGGTGTTGTCAGCACCACGCTCAGCCAGTGAGTGAACCGGCCATCCCTATGTGGGATCAGAACCCGTGGCCTTGATGTTATCAGCACCGCACTCTACCGAGTGAGCCACAGGCCGGCCCTGAACTGGGTGATTTATAAAGAAAATGAAATTTATTTGCTTATAGTTTCTAAGGCTGGGAAGTCCAAAGTCCATCAGGTAGTGGTGACAGTGACTCAGAGGTCTCACATTGAAATATGTGGAAGCAGAGAGAGCAGCGAGAGAGACAGACTCTCCTCTTCTTTTAAAGCCCTCAGAACCACACCCCTGACCACCATTTTTAATCCATTCAGTATGACATGGTCCTACAATCCAATCACCTCTTCAAGGCTCCACCTCCGAACCCGTGGCCTTGGTGTTATCAGCACCGCACTCTACCGAGTGAGCCACAGGCCGGCCCTGAACTGGGTGATTTATAAAGAAAATGAAATTATTTGCTTACAGTTTCTAAGGCTGGGAAGTCCAAAGTCCATCAGGTAGTGGTGACAGTGACTCAGTGGTCTCACATTGAAATATGGTGGAAGCAGAGAGAGCAGCGAGAGAGACAGATTCTCCTCTTCTTTTAAAGCCCTCAGAACCACACCCCTGACCACCATTT